GGCGTATGTGGATGCAAATTTCTGACATCTTCTCCTTTGACGAAAGTACACTTACAAAATAATAACACCTTCGATTAAGGCCAAAAGCCTCACGTGCCCATGATAACTGGAGGGGGGCCTTGGGCGTAAAAATCTCGGATGCCAAAATTAGAATTTTGAAAAGAACGTATTTAGGAGTTTGTGGGTAGCGTTTCAGTAAGATAAGAAGGGCATTTATAGGAGAGTGGCTGGCCCTTTAAGGTGTATTTGGGTGATAATTGCAAGATATTATGTGATATAACATCCTGCAATTAACATGGCAATTGTTCTTAAATTAAATAGGAAGTTTTGGGAGTTACCTTTTGAATAAAATCACTAAGGGATTGATGAGGAGTGAAGATAGGAATATGAAATAAATTCCAATTGATCATCTTTGACTCTTCCTTGATTGAGCTGTTATTGTCTGTTGTATGCGCATGAGAATCCCGGTGTGCCTAAAGGGTATTCTCGTATTTTTCACCCAAAAGTCCACATGTTGCCTCGATGATTTTTGAATTATTTTTTACTCCACAAATGCCCCCACACCTGCTGAGCTGCTCATAGGAAAATGCAATAGGTGTAGAGATCTTCCTTTGCTTTAGGAAACATAAGATTGTTTCCTATTTTGATGTAAATTCTCACTTTGATTGGAAATTAGATTCTTGTAGGAAAGGGAAATAAATTGCCACCAAAGCTTAAGCGTACCTTAAGTAAGGGATTAAACTTCGGAGGGTAATTATATATCCCTACAAGAAAGAGAGAAAGTTAGAAGATATTTGTTCCCCTTCCCCTAGCATTCTTCTTCACTTGCCCGTGCAAAGAACCGCCTTCAATTTATTTCTTTGTCTTTTTTGCGCCACACCAAGGTAAGAAAAACTTAATTTTATTTTTCTTCTTTTTGGGTGGTGCTACCACGGGGCAGCTGTTGAGGTGGTGCAGCATGTTGGCTGGCGGAGGCCAGGAGTCGGTTCGGCATGGACTAAGGAGATGGTATGGCAGGGGCCACGACTTAAGTTGCTCGGTTTGGCTAGAGCCAAGGCCAGCTGGGCGGTTAGGGTCACGATTTGAGATGTTGGGGTGTAGTGTTGGGTGAGCCGCATGGCTCAAGCCTTCTAGGCTCTTGGACCTGACATAGGCTGGGCTGGCGATTGAGAGAAATGAAGGCTCGAAGGCCTCCTAGGCTGTTAGAATTCTAAGCATGTAATCTTCATGCCTGCTGGTTCGAGAAAGAAAAATATAGGAAAAGCCATCATGGGCTGAGCTTCCTAGTTATGTGGTTGAGCCTAGAAACCTAGGTCGCGGGGCCTGGCTTGTGGGCAATCGAGGTTTCGTCATAAACAATTTGATCTTTTGAGCATAAGTGAACTACCTCGTCTCTACGCTGATGCTAATGAAATAAATTCCATGTTCCTTTCATCACTCATCATCAATCCCCTATTAATCACCTTTGACTCTTCCTTGATTGAGCCATTATTGTCTGTGGCATGCGGATGAGAATCCCAGTGTGCCTCGAGGGTAATCTCATCTTTTTTACCCAAAAGTCCATATGTCGCCTCCATGATTTTTTGGATTATTTTTTGCTGCACAGTGTACAAATTTGAAAATAATAAAATAAATCTATTCTGTCACATAAATCTGACAGTAATTGTACCCTAATCGACATAATTAATAAAATAATAAAAAAATAAAATTAACCAATCCTTGCGGATATAAACACCAGTGTTGCCATTACAACCGCCAAAAATGGTTAAAAATATTTAAAAAATAACAATCTAGTGTCGTTCAAATTTCTTGTCGGATTCCACCAAATTTATGTAGCCTATATCCGACATTTCTAGTGTATGTCAACTACGAATGAAAGAAATATTTTGTTATCCAACACGACCTAATATGTACTGTCGATTACATTTTATCCAACAACATAGTACTTATTAATCGCCACCATCCTCTGACACATTTAGCTAATTTTGTAGTAATGAAAGGCATCTTGATCAGCTAGGACATGGTTATCTACAACTTCGCCCTAGCCACCTTCAGGCTTATTACATGCTTTGAACTACTTAATCGATGGTATGAGGCTTATCTTGGACTTCAAGAATTCAGGATGTTGTACAACGCATGAAAAATCATTTAAGGCCACTACTTTATGCCTAGACCCAGCTTATTTGAGGGCCATACATTTCAGATATCCCTTGGCAAGATAAAGACTGGTTCATGGATATCTTGGCAATTAACGATGATTGGGAGGATGAAATCTCAAGGGCCAGAGTAAAAAACATTCATTCTCCCAACCTATGCCTCAACGATGACTTAGAGAATATTGGTGTATGTCGATCGGAGTTGATCAACCAAGTGATGCAAACCTCTACTAAGCACCGTAGTTGGAATTGGCTATTTTCTCTGGTTCGAATCTCGAATCACGGGAAGAGTACAGTCATCAACCATTGCTCTAAGTTTCCTATCATGATCCCGATTGGATCGAAGCAAAGGAAGTTTTAAAAGGGTCAATTTTCTCAAACCCAGAACTTCCCCAACTATAAAGAAGAATAAGGGAAAACGGTCCTGCAACACTTCCTCAACATCGTTAGCTACACCTTTTCAAATATGGTTCCAATAATAGAGATGGTACCTCGAGAATCCTATGGAGGAGGAAGAAATCCCTCTTGTGCGAAAACGAGTTACATATGAGTTTCTTAGTATTTAGGATATGGCATGTGAAAGAGACTGATTGGGTATGGCAGTTAAGGAACATACTTCCAGTCTTAGGAACTCTTATGTAAATTCTTTTCTAGCATGGTAATGACACCTTTATGGGTTGCAAAGGATGGTCCCTTCTCAAAACCTTTTACGACAACATCAGCTGATTCCTTCTCATGGGTCATTTCCCACTGCGCGTAGTCTTTTTAGCTCATCTTCTCGCTTTGCTTCGAGATTGAATTCTTAAGTTTTTTTTTATTGACATGACAATATCCTTTTAAGGCTTCTCCCAAAGCATAATGGCAGTAATGATGTTTAACATGACGTACTCTTCGAAATTCTCTTGGCTTTCCTGGCGCTGAGATTCGTTCAGCCTAAAAGCAGTATCACCTGCTTCCTCCAGGTGGTGTTTCTTTTTTTTTTTTTTTTTTTTTTTTTTTGGGATCTTGGAGCCATTGAATCAGAATTGTGACATGGTCCCAGTGTAGTCGCCAATATTTATATTGGGGATCTTTTGATCGAGTTAGATTTAGTCCTTGGTGGAAACCCTCAACTCCTTGGTTTGTTTCCGACACAAGTCCTGAAATACTTCAAAAGAATTAATACATCTTAGGAAGTATTCCAGTTGAATAAATGACTTCAATTTACCAAAGATTGAATAATTATGACAAATTATAACTTGCATGAGTGAACGGTAGCATGGAAGCTAAAAGTTCATTGCTTTAGCATGGAAGAGAGAGAACTTGTGCTTGCTTGCATGGTTTGAGGATGGGTAATCTAGGTTCTTAATACTCTGGTAATATTTTGGTGACTAAGGAAGTGTAAGGAAAACTTAAGGAAATCCTCAAAGTGTAAGGAAAGCTTATTCCTCAAGAACTAGAGTTTCCTGCACTAAGAGAAAGCTTGCCTTTCTTGGTGCGATCTTCCATAGTTCTCTTTTTCCCTTGTTCCTCCTTCCTCATCGTGCTGACTTTCCCTAACTTATAAGTGTAGGGATTCTCTCAAGTTCCAGCTAGAGAATCCTTTGGTTTCCTTTCTTCTTCTTGTTTTTGTTTAGTTTTCTCATTTCTTTCTATGGCTGCAATTATAGAGCCCCTCTTTGGTGTAACGTTGAAGAGCATTATTAGTCTCGTGAAGCCTGGGTTGAGCACACTGCCAATAGCATCGTCTTCCAACGCTAGTTTCCATAAACACCATCTTATTTTGGAACGGTCCTCATTGTTTTCCTTCTAGTTTTCATGTGTAAGCTTGGAAGGGAAAAGGTTCCTTCTCATTCTATTAGTGAAGCGTGTATTCACTACAAAAAAAATGAGCACTGCACACCAAAAATTATATGTGCCTTTTGAGGCCAAAAAGCACCAACATTTGTGCTCATAGACCAATAGCAACAGTGCAGCAACTAAGTTTGTATCTGTGCCCTCTATGGGCGTCACCATTACTTATAACACACAATATGATGTTTTGTGCCCAAAGCTAAGCACAAATACAACCCTTATTGTGTCCTACCTCTAATAAAGGCTACTGAATGTATGGTGTAAGATGGGCACAATTGCTATTTTTAAAGGCTTAGATTGTTAAAGCAAGGGCACAACTTAAAAATTGTGCCACTATTATATTTTAATAAATACAATAAAACTCCAGCACAATTAAAAATTTGTGGCGGGTTTCAATAAAAAAAAAAAAAAATTTGTGGCATAATTGGATATTTTTATTTAAACATGGCAATCATCAGGTTGCTCATAGAATCTAATTTCCACCTAAATTTAGAAAGTTACAAATCATCCATTACAAACTAAACATAAATCAACATTAGCACTAAAATAGTTAAGTTAATATATTACATAACCTATGTTCTCGGTTAAGACCGATTCATGCAACCTAACAATACAACCCATCCAAATGTTAAACCAAAAAATACATGTTATCCTATGCTAGACATGCCCGGGATTCTCTATATACAACAAAATATAACATATCCAAGCTTGTATCCCCAAGTCAAACGTACTAATGGTTAAACCAGCAATATATAAACAAAATACACATCTACAAGGGCTGCTTGATGACAACTAACCAGTATTCTGACTTTGGCAGTCCTCATGCATCATAGCACTAGAAATTGGAGGTCCACACTGCACATTCTTGTCATTTCCACCTTCGAAACCCGTTGAAATCTGAGCATGTGAGCTTCCACACCCTTGCTGCTGAGTTGAAGTACTTTGTAGAGCACTCACTCCAAATGAACCAATGTTGATGCCTACATGTGCCAACATGGCTTTCAATTGCTCAGCCATTTGCACCTTTGCTAACCTCAAATTCTCCTCTTGTTCGGCCCTAAGCCTTTGTATGCTTTCTTCTTGCTCTCTTTTCATCTTTTCCGCTTTCTCATTTGCCTCATGCATCATACGAGTCATTTTTTCTTCCGCAGCAGCAGTGGCTTCTTTCTGAGCTTCATAAGCTTCCCGAAGATACTTCACTTCCCTAGAAATACCTCGCTGTTCAGTAACAATTCCTGGTACATCTGCCCAACCAACTCCAAGGCCAAAGCCTCGCACTTGATTTCACTTCTCTGGGCCCAACACTTCTGCATAAATCTTATTACGAACCTCTGTTGTTACCTCATCACCACGTTCACGAACCTCCACTTCCAGATTTTCAAACGCTAACTGTTTGAAAAAGCCTTAATCATTCGTAAATGCATAAAATTTCATTAAAGGTTGCTGGAAATAAATTTGGTGAAGTGAAAATGTACAAATTACCATCATTCTAGCAGATTCATCATCAACTGGGAGTTGCTTAGGTCCTCTTGTGTGTGCCATTTTGAAAAAAGTCACACGATCAGGTTCATTTCCATCATGTTCTTCAGCCTAAGACACAAAAAAAATCCCAAAAACAACCACAATCATTAAACAATCACAGTTACAATGACAAAAACTATAGTGCACTATATATAAACACAAACATCAATAAGGGTAATAAACCGCTGTTCCTGAAAAATTGGAAGAAAAAAAATACTTTAGTTTATGTCAAATGTATACTGATTTGAACTAAAATTAAATGTGAGATGTAGTTTTTGAGACATTTGAACTAAAATTATAATATATAGTACAAGAATCCACTCACATAATCATTCCGTATTTGAGCAAAAGTTGTTGTCCCAGTTGTGTGACTCGTCTTTAACATCTTTCGATTCTTGACATTCGTTGCACATCTCCGCTGGATCACAACAAATAAAGAACACCACAAAGGAAAATACTCATTTTATCGAACCTTATATTTCGTTTCAACAACAGTTTAATGAAGTATAGTAACTATAGTGTTGAAAGTTTTACAAACCTTATTTTCAATTTTATCCCAATAAGCTACCAAGGATTGCCATTGTCTCTGGATTACCCTAGAATCATTGCAATGCTTCCTGTGCTCGGAGTTCTCAAAGGGAACATAATACAACTTACGGAGTTTTGCCCTCCATGTCCTGAAACGATCATGCAATTTCGTTTCCACAATAGCCCTTACTTTGTCCTCCTTGCCAGCAGCTTTTGGATTTGTCCAGTCTATAGTGGCCTACATAAACAATAATGAAGTTGTGACATAAGATTGTAAGCATCCAACAAGTCAAATTTTAGAAATTAGCATCAATACCTGGACCAATGACCACACTCGATCAAGTTTCGAAGATTCTATTTGGCGCCAATCAGGTGAATCAATTGGGATTATTCCACCATCACGAGCCAACATGGCTATGTAGCGCCCAAATTTGGCCACATTGTCACGAGGAGAAATAGGTTGACCAAATCTGTTAAAGTTCAGTTTTTCGCACCTCCCTCTGCCCCACCGTATTTTGTTAACTCCCCTATTCCTCTTTCGAGTTGTGGGTGACAAAGAAGTAGAGCCACTTGATTGCGTATGTCGACTACATGTCTCATGGGGTTGGTTGGTTGCAAATGATTCATTTTCGGTGACTACACCAAATTGGAAGTGTGGTTGAGTTCCCATAGATGCCAAAAATGCATCATCATCAAGCATCATATTAGCCATCTACATTGCAAATTGCAAATGAAGTGTAATCAACACGAACTATTCATTTACACCAACAAGAACTATTTTTTTACACCAATGAACATACAGGTAACATTAACAAGTTCTATAATGATTCAAATTATCTACATTTTATCATCATGCATAAATTATCCTTAAATAAAAGTGAAAATCTTTTCATTAAGACATACAATTATTGATAGAAGAAAAAAGATGAACACACTATATGATGCCACCATGTACTGTAACCATCATGTGACTTTTGAGTTGAGTGATTTTTGTCAAGGTGATCATCAAAGAAAGACCTAAGATTGACGGCTGGATCACAATGTGTAGTGTCTTAGAAGAGTTATAGTTTATATTGTGCATTCATTTAATGAACCACAACATCAAATACCAAAAGAGGCATGCATATGAGTACCGTGGAATCTGAACACTTAATAGTCACGTAGAGCAGATCCAGTTTTATTGTAGTGGTGTAAAGCAATCATGCTTATGCACCATAGTGGAGGTTTGACCCTATCGATTTCTCTATCCCTTAGTAATTAGTTATTTAACTTGCCGACGTTATGGATGGTGAAAATTAAAAAAAAAACAAAAACAAAAACAGGGCCACGTAGTAATAGGAGTATGATCGATCCAGGGATGATGGATGTACTCGCACACTCTATTCTATATGTTCCCTATGAGGGATACTTATCTGAAAGACAACTGGGATGGTACTGGTAGGGAAATCCCTCATAATTTCAATGAGACCTGCAATCCCAAAAATCTGCACCCATCCTAGATTCTTAATCCCAAACCCACTGTCCTCTGAAACCCACTGTCCTCAAACCATAAACCATATTCAACAAAGTAAACAGCCTACTTGACCTTAAACCTTAAAGAATAGAAACCCATTGAAAAATTGAAATTCAGAAACCTTACATGTATCTTGGCCCTCTTGTGTGTCGGTGTGTGTCACCAGAGGGCAGAGGAGTGCCTTTGAACTGGACAGAGGAGTAGGCTTGAGGTGGATAGACTCCATGGATGAATGGGTTGGAACTGGACGGAGGAGCTGGAATGAGCGTCCTTTTAATTTTGGGAGAGTAAAGGTGAGACGGAATGAGAAATGGTGGAATGGAAGCTTTCCAGTTTCTAACCCTTTAATATAGCTACTATTTTTTTAATTAATATTTTAAAAGTGAGTGGGCACAATTTTGGGATGCGGTGGGTTTAAATCAGATTTTGGCAAACCAAGTTTTTGAATTTGGTGGTGGGAACTTAATATAATAGAGGGAGAAGTCCAATTTTAAAAATAGAGGGAGAATCCAATTTGGAGAAGGGGAAACTTAATATAAGTTCAATTTTATAAGTCATTATTAGTTATAGTCCAACTTAATTTGTTTTATTTTTCGGATGAGGTCCAGTAATTAATTATCCACATAAGCTTATTTGTATTAGATTGCCAAATTTACCCTTAAATTGATTAATTAAGTAATTGCTGTTTATTTTTTCATTTGTGATTAATGTTAATCTTATCCTGAATTATAGGATTAGGGATTTAAATCTCCGTTTTTCTTCTCGTTACCCAAACCGTTCATTTCTCTTTTCTTGTTTCAGTTCTCTTATCTTGTTTCTCCCTGTCAATATCTTTATCTTGATGTGTTAATTTGCATTACTCAATCTTGTGTTTTGGGTTCTTCCTCTTTTTTATTTTTTATTTTTTGGGTTTCTTTCTGCTTTCCATTGTTTTTTTTTTTTTTTTTGAAGTTGTATTGAAGCTTAATTGTGTTTATCTACCTATACCATAGGGTTTTTTTTTTGTTTTTGTTTATATATATATATATATATATATTATAACACTCAACCTATATTAGAGATTAATTGCATATGTATCATTTGTTTTCTCTCAACCCATGTTCAACCTTCCATGGGAGAGCCGAATGCTCTCCCCGTTGGATGCTCTCTTTACTCATCACAAAGGCCCCGCCTTCTCTCCCTCCTCTTCTCTCTTTCGGCTCATCACACTTTGCCTTTGTAAAAGCCACAAATCAAGGGCTAGACATCATAATGATGTCCCCCATTGGATGCTCTCTTTACTCATCACAAAGGCATAACCAAATGCCTTACCGCCTTCTCTCCCTCCTCTTATCTCTTTCGGCTCATGCCAAATCTTTGCCTTTGTAAAAGCCACAAATCAAGGGCTAGACATCATAATGATGTCCCCCTTTTTCTTTGTCCATTTCTTAGCTTGCCAACTCATAATATGAGTCAATTCATGTCCAATAGATGATTGGATACATTGATAGACAAGATGGAGACAATCATGCTCAACCGAAAGTAGCTTGCCAACTCATAATATGAGCCAATTCATGTCCAATAGATGATTGGATACATTGATAGACAAGATGGAGACAATCATGCTCATCATGCATCATTTGTGCAATAGATGATTTCGTGATCATATTCATTTGCCTTATTAAGCTCCCTAATTTTATGTAAATATTGATTTGTAGAATTTGTCCTTATGCAAATTGTGAAAGCTTGTAAACCCTCTGTAAAACTATATAAATACAATACACCGAGATGAATGAAGATCATCCAAAAAATTCTACCAAAAACTTGTGCGTGGTCTTCATGTTATTTCCCTGCACTATTTAATCTTTCATACATGAACAAGCTACATAGTAGATATAAGTTCTTGATCATTACAAGTCTGATAATCGTTCTGCAATAACAATTTCTGCAACATCTAGCCTTGTTTGCACTATATCATCATCCCCTAATGTGTTTTCTATATCTTGAGCTGTGTTGGGGTCTTCTACATCTGTATCGAGCATGTTGTAAACGTCTCGTGGCTTTGTCTTTGTAGCAACAAACCACTCAGTGTCAATAGGATCTTGAACATAAAACACTTGCGTTGCTTGTGACCCCAGTATGAATGAGTCATCCGATGGTAAATGATGTTCACAATTAACCAAAGTGAACCCAAACTCATCCTTCTTAGTACGAAACCTTTTGCTCTTGACATCAAACCAATCACAATCAAACAGTATAACCTTCCGACCATTGTGATAATCTAACTCAATGATATCTGTCACAACACCATAATAATCCACATCTCCATACCTTGGATTCCTGTCAACCGTAGTAGCAAAACTACTAACTTCAGATGCTAAAAAAACACCACTGTTTTGGGTTTGTGCATGTCGATCAGCAGAAGCAACCTTAAATCGATTTCCATTCATGATGTATGCGGTATAACGATTTACCCACTGCATCGGTCCAGCAGCCAATGCACATATATCGTCTTTAATAACTCCCTCATCATTTGCCCCTATGATATGTACCTACATTGAATTAAAACACAGTTACAAAATTACACCATTATGAATGCTACATTTAATACTGAAACTTAATAGGAATATATATAAGGTACATTATCCCGACACCATTGAGGGAAACTATCTAAAGCTTCTCTTTCTGCATCATATATAGTAGTTCTTCTGCCACGAGTAGAAATTACATGTGACATATGTCTCCTACAAGACCAACACATAAATCAATTCAGGATCCAAGCTAGTCCATCAAACATATACTAAGGTAATGTCATTGTTATAACTGTACCTTAAGTATTCTGCCATTTGAGGACAATTTACTAGGACATACCGATGAGCCATTTCAAACCTCGGACGTTCTAGCAAAACAGTGTCAACAGCGCTTGCTGGTTTGCCTTGGCTACTAAATAACGGAAGCCCTTGTCGTGCATCACATTGCTGAACATCATAGTTACGTCCATGCCTATTGCGACGGGTAACAATAGAGTCATCCATGTACATGGAGCAGAATGATACACACTCATCTAAATTAACAGCCACTGCAATACATCCTTCTGGCTGACTCTTGTTGCGCACATACGATTTTAGAAGATGTAGATACCTGATTGTTAAAAAAAAAATCTTTAAGCAAAAGGTAATGATGAAAAACAAATACTAAATTTAGAAACTAAACTGAGTAGCTGTTTTACGAAACTGACACCTTTCAATGGGGTACATCCATCGGTATGGGACTGGACCAGCAACAGCAGCTTCATCCGCAAGGTGAATTATCAAGTGTACCATAATGGTAAAGAATGATGGCGGAAATAACTTCTCCAGATGGCATAGAGTTAAGGCAATGCTTTTTGACAAGCCATTGAATAATTCTTCAGTTCCAGTTTTTGAACAAATGTGGCGAAAAAATCTGCTCAACTCTAACAACACTGTAACAACCGATTTCGGTAACACTTTTCGTATTGCAATAGGGAGGAATACCTGTAGGAGCATATGATAATCGTGGCTTTTCAAGCCAATTAACTTCTTTTCTTGAATATTAACATAGTTGCTAATATTAGAAGAGTAGTTGTCTGGCACCCGAATTGATTCCAAAACCTGGCACAACATTCTTTTCTCCTCAGGTTTCATATTGTATTCTGCCGCTGGCAGCTTTGTACGGGCACCATCTGCCCGTGGATGGAGATCATGCCTAATGCCCAACTCTACGAGATCAGCCCTTGCCCTAATACCATCTTTATTCTTCCCTTCAATTTCCAAAAGAGTGCCAATAACATTTTCAGCTACATTTCTCTCTATATGCATGACATCCAAGTTATGCCGCAGTAGAAGATCCTTCCAGTAAGGCAAATCAAAGAATATAGTCTTTTTTGTCCACTGACCGACAACGTGTCCATCATCATTCCACCCCCGCTTACGACCACTTGCCTTTGCACCCTTGCCAAATCTGAAGGTCAATCCCGTCACTTCCAATAAACAATCCATGGCAGTTCTTGGTTTAGGGGGGTTTCGAAATTCTTGAGATCCATTAAAAGTTTTTTTATGTCTTCGGTACCTGTGTGACATCGGGAGCCATCGCCTATGTCCCATGAATGCAAACTTTTTCCCATGCTTAAGCCATAAAGAATTAGTGTCATCACCGCAAGTCGGACAAGCTTTCTCACCACTAGTGCTCCACCCTGAGAGCATGGCATAAGCAGGAAAGTCATTGATAGTCCACAACAAGGCAGCACGCATGGTGAAAGTTTCTTGACGGTGAGTATCATATGTTTGCAAACCTGTCGTCCACAAATGCCGCAAGTCATCAATGAGCGGCTGCAGGAAAACATCAATTGCATCACCAGGACTTTTTTTCCCTGGAATTAGAAGAGACATCATGATATAAGGTTGTTTCATGCACATCCAAGGTGGAAGATTATAAACTACAACTAAAACAGGCCATGTGCTGTGAGGTTTGCCATGCATTCCAAACGGATTGAATCCGTCGCTTGCAAGCCCAAGACGGACATTGCGACACTCCCTTGCAAAATCTGGATATGTATTATCCAAATGCTTCCAAGCCGGAGAATCGGCAGGGTGCCTCAAAACACCATCGTCAGTTCTAATCTCTGAATGCCATATCATTGACTCAGCTGTGTAACGAGACATGTACAACCTTTGTAGTCTAGGACCTATGGGAAAGTAGCGTAAAACCTTTTTCGGTACCTTAGTACATTCGAGCGTTCCTGAATTTGCCTTCCTTTGCTTATATCTACTAGCGCCACACTTTGCACAAACGATGTCATTTACATGCTCTTTCCAGAATAGCATGCAATTATTTCGACACGCATCTATGTTCTGGTAATCCAACCCCAAAGCCCGGATAATCTTCTTTGTATAGTACAAATTTGGAGGAAGAGTCTCGCACATAGGAAAATGCTCTCTTATTAGTGCCAGCACTGAACCAAATGCAGCATCACTCATTCCATATAACAATTTTGACTGATATAATTTGACCACAAAATCCAACTTTTTCTTCCTACTACCTGGATATAATTCTCCGTCTGCTTCTCGTAGAATGTTGTCAAATTGGTGCACATCAATTGTTTCGTCACAAGCAAAAGAAGATTCACCAACATGATCTGACTCATCCATATGCACGTGGTTACCGAAAACATCGTGAAGCATCGCTGCCATGAAATTTTCAGGGCTTCTTTCATTATGAGCTTCAGTAGTTGGACTTGATATATTATCAGACGTATACACCTGTTCGCCATGTTCAACCCAAGGTATATCTATGTAATGGGGATCCATACCCTCGACGTAGAGGTGTTGATCGACTTCAAATGGATCATGATAAAACATATTGCAACAGCGCCGACAGGGGCACTTAATTTTTCCTTGAAAGGCAGCAACATCTAAAGCATTACTGATGAATGCACGCCTGCCAATCAAGTATTCATTGGTCGTCCTATTCAGATGCACCCATTCTTTGTTCATCTTTACCTACAAGCATGTATGAAATTATAAGACATTTGATTACACAATAAGATTAGTGAATTGAGACAATGAAACAAAACTTTCATAAAGATCCAACTTAATATCCCAAATATCACAAACCAACTAAAAGCAGATGTGGTCTACATTAAAGTGCCTTATTCATTAACGGCTACTTTGAATAGAATTTTGTTTCATTTGAATGAACTCCATTTGAAGTTTGCTATGATAAGCAAAAAATTATTCTACCTATTTTACCCCGACAACGACGTTTTCTTGTGATATGTTTGATTTAAATGAAAGGAATTGCATGTTCTTTGTGTTTTGTGGCTAGATTAATGAGATGGAAAAAATCGTATTAAAATTCTATAATTGCTAGTCAAGTGAATTTGGAGAATGTTTTGATTGTCATTGATCTCTTGCTCTAATTATTAAATCATTTGTTTGGTGGCATATTGAGAGTTGTTACATGTGCAACTGGATTATGTAGTGCATTTCTATCATTTGAATTTTATGCAAGATGATAAAACAGAGAGGAATTGCATTCATAAGAGCTTTGCCCTTATCCTCCCATTAGTCGTGTGACTATTTATAAGAAAATGAGAAGGACAACCCTATTCTTTCCAGTGCAGGTAATACAAATATTAGTCATGCCTTTGTCTCCCAAAGACCAGGAAAGAAGCCATTGACATACAGTAGTGAGTAAACTGAAGAGGGCCAAGACCGAGAATAAGTTGGTGCTAAGCTTTCGTCGGTTACAGCAAAGGAAGAGAAAGAGGAACAGCTGGAGTGCTTGGAATTAATTGATCATGCTATTGAAATCCTACAAACATATGATGCCAAAGACTTATACTTGTTCTTTTATTCATAATATATATATCAGACTACAAAGTATTCATTGCACCAAACAAAT